ATTATCTCTTTGAGAACAAATTCTGTGCGATTCAATTGCCCGATTCCGGTTAAGACACCTAAAAGCGAAGGCAAGGTAATAGACGCTAGCAACGTTGCTTACAACCAACCAAAAACAGCTCCATTTTTCTCCACGTTGATTTTATTTTTTCCATGATAATCAACGTAAATTGACACGGCAGGAGAGAATATAAATTCCCTAAGAGAAGATACTTTGTAGAGAAACTGACCAAGGTAAACAATTAGAGAAACTAACTTGAAAAATGTACTCCCTCGCGATGATTCTGACGGTTCAGTTGTGCTTTGCCGCTCGACCGCGACTGTCGATCCTGCCATTTGTGTGGACGTCTCCTCATCACAGATGGTGGACTAAATGATTCGACAATAATACCGCAATCAAAATGACGAGAATAGTGTTACCCTATCAGCATCATTGGAGCAATCAGCTATATCACTGCTGGTGTCTACAAGCTCTTCGCTGATCGCTGCAGACGGATTTACGTCACCCGACGCAACCATGTCAGGATGGAAAGAATCATGCATGGAAGCACCCATAGGTATCCTATCCATAGATGATACCGTAGCAGGAAGATCCAAATCAGGAAATCTAAGAGGAAATCAAAGAGATACAATTCAAGCGCGCAAGCCGACTGGCCAGAAAAATGACGACAAACCTTATTTCACTATCAGAACTCCAATCTCCCGCTAGATGTAGGTCATCTATTGGTCCAGTCTCGTCTTCAGTAGACATTTCTGCTCGTATGAGGTCTGGACTACTCGACTAGAACGAACTGATTGAGAACTGAAGTTTTCTCTCGGCTAATTATCACTACCTGTGGTGAAGCTTCCTCCACAGGTGATATTCTTTGTGAAGCACGGCTTTTGGTTCCGAAGAGATCCCCTGAAAGCGTGAGAGAAACAGAATGACAAAACCCGTTCAAAACACTGTCACACTAACCGATTGAAACTGCAGAGGCAGTAAGAGGAGCATCAGCAAGAGGTCTTTTAACGGGAGACTCGGGTTGACTTCGATGCTCCAGATAGGACAGGTCATCTGAAACTTCCCAAGTATCTAATGTCCCAGAACTTTCCCATGGGTTTTGACAAAACGCACAAATTGGCGATGGGGCGACTTCAGGAGTCAGCACATCTAAGTTAAGTAGAGCTTCGCGCCGCAAGGATGGATATAGGTTTGGTTTTAGGTTAGAATCGTTGTCGGCTGTGTTCAGTGTAGCCGGTACTTCCAGTATGGGCCGAGCAGAAATCGCATCAGACACTAAAACAGAGATGCGAAAAAATGGACGAATGGTATCACAGATTTTCTACCTTCGTTGGGCAAGTCAACGCTTGTTCGAACTTCTTGGAAGAAATCGTCCAAAAATTCCATCGTATCTTGGTCAATATTGAACTTTATAGGAAGCATGGAAACCTAGAAGAAGATAGACAATGGAGTGATATTCAAAAGAACATTTAAAAAGAAATTTTACCCTCATTTTTCCTTCACACTTGTGCGATTCGACCATCCTCACAGCCAACATAGGCGCACACGTCCTTCGCGGCTGTTCAGCAGAAGAATACTAAAGTTGTCGCAATTAGCACAACACCCAAAGATCACAGCAACTGTCAAAAACACTGCTACCTGATACATCATTTCTTTGATTTGACTTGCGGTTAATTTATCGAGAAGAGTTATGTCGTGAATAGTGAAGAGCTTCATAGTCATTAATGGTGCATTCTTACTGAATAGCTGATAGATACAAGTAATCTAAAAACATAGCGGTATTAGAAGACAGGGAATAGCTTTCTTTTCACTCAAGTTTGACTAGACACACCTTGTTCAGCTCTAGAACAACGCATACGGAATGGTCACGATGCTTT